AATTATACAATTAATTACATTATGTGACCGGCAGGGGGCGCTAGGGGGTCATCCGGGCTTTTTCCTCCTCCGTAGATCTTCCTCACCGCTCGCTGCTCATGCCAGCTGCATTCGGAGTTTGGCCAGCACCAGTATTTTGCTCCCCTACGCAGCACCGCCGGTTCCCCCCATCTAAACGGGAGTACCCATTTATCTACTCGCAGATGGAATAGCTTTCGAATTGCTGGGTGAACAAGGAGCTAGGGCAAGGGACAGGAGCTCACCCTGTCCCACGGGGCTGGGCTCGAACCGCGGAGAGCCAATCATTCTGACCGGCAACTCCCACGTCATTAAGCCCTTGCGCAAACAACTCAATTCTTTTTTTTTTTTTTTTTTCCGAAAAAAATTCTTCACCCAAATTTTTATTAACTAAATATTTTATATCCTTTTTTCTAATATGTGTCTCTTGTAGGCAGATTATATCTTGTTTCAGCTTTTTCAAATAATGCTTTTTTTTCTCTTTTGAGTACCATTTGCTTCATTTTTTCCATGTTAGACATTTATAATCCATAATCAAGCCAAAAATGTAGAAAAACCAGTACCAGTAGCTCCTAGTTCAGTATCATCCCTTTCAGTTTCCTGTTGGATTTTTTGTGTAGTCTCCTCTAACACCTCCATTTGAATCTCCTCCAATTCTTCCTTGAATTTTTCTAGAAATTCTCTTGCCTTCTGGACAGAATTCCATTGAAATCTCTGCTGGTTAAATGTAAAAATCATACCTTCCAGCTTGTCCCAATGAAATACAATCTTTTTCTGTTTTAATCTTTCAGTAGAAAAAAAAATACTCTTTTCTAATAGGCAAGATTCTGATAGGGTTTTTTTAAAAGAAAATTTTATCTGTATTTTCAGTCTTCAGTCTTGCATTAAAATGCTGCTGCAAAACTTGATCCTTTGTCTTCTTCCTGATAAACTATACCAAACATCCATCTGAGTGGCTGGGAGGTGAGAGATTCCATCTAAGCTCATAACCGTGGTGTAGCCTACATGGACGTGAAGCTCAGCCACCTCATTTCTTAATCACTTTGGATTTAATTAATTTATAGCTAAAGAGGGATTTTCTGAACAACAGGTAAAGACTCCACTTGAGTTATCATTTTTTCTGGATTACAAAGTAATAAAGGAAGAAAAAAAAGCAGCTTTAAAGATTTAAGAATTCTGGCAAAAAGGTAACAAGGAATTGAAATAAGAAAGTTTAAAATGGTTAAAGGGGACAGTTATTTTGAAAGATTACTTTTTAGTGAAAGTGCTTTTGAACAATTTGAACTAAATTAAATTAGATAAAAGAACCAGACCTTTACGGGAATGTGTTTTTTTGTTTGTTTGTTTGTTTATTGTTAAAGAACACAAACAATTGGTGGACTATACAAAACAAAAGATAAGCATAATATGAGCCAGATTGATGTTGATCATAACTATGCAGACGTGAGTTGTGATGTTGACTGCAACTATGGAGTGCATTAGAAAAGAAAGTATCAAAGGCACAGGAAGACAAAAGATGGGGGGAAAGGAGGGGAGGCTTGCTTTTTCCTTTTCCCTTGTTTGAGACTCTTTCGTAATGGCAACCACTCGAAAAGTGGCAAGAATGGAGGGGAGGAGGGGGATTGTAGAGCAACCTGCAGAGAAAGGAATTACGCCAGATTTGCTGCAGAAATTATTTGAACAAATGGGTAATACGTTAGAAGCACTTGATACTAAATTGACAGCTTTTGAAAGAAGAATGGATGAAAGATTTGTAAAGATGAAAGAGGAGATGAAAGAAGAAGTTAAGAAGATGGAAAGCTCCGTAAAACAAATGTCTGGAAAGATAAAACAAATTAATGACAAAATGGAAATTTTAGAGAGCAAGGCAGAAGTCATAGAGATCTGGAAAGAGAATTAAATAATTTGACTCTATTGGAATTAAGAGAGAAGGAATTTTTCTTGAGACTTAGAGCAATCAGAGAGGTTTCTGATGAAGATATTAAAGAAAAGATTGTTAAAGTCTTGGGAATTTTTTTGGATTGGGAAGAGGAGGATACAGAGGCAGAAATTGATAAAGTTCATGTAATGAAAATAGTTCTAATCATCTAACACCTTCTCCAACTCTTTATTCTAACATTAAAGAAGAAAATAGAAAGTCTTGTAACATTGATATAATATAGAAATTAGCATATAAGACAAACTGTAATAAAACAGTATGGAATTAGATTTGGCAGTAGTTTGTACTGAAATATATTTATGTGTATAAGTGTGTATGTGTGCATATATGTGTATATGTCTAGGACTCAGAAGTATTGGACTATATGAAATATTCAGAGTAATGCTTCATGAAGCAACTGAAGTGCCCATCTGAACGTACTGCTTAAAACATCAAGCTGCTTGGTCCTCTTGAAGACTTAATGTCATTGCATGCATGAACCTGTATGTGCATGCATAGAAGACAATTCTATCAGGATTACTAGTAATGCACCTTCCAAATATTTTGCATAGATCTAATAAGTAACAAAGTATTTTATTTGTTGCTTATTAGATCTATGCAAAATATTTATCTCGTGTTTATTTAGAAGTTCATGTCAGGATACAGAGGAATCTCTCTCAATTATATCCCTATGACAACCCTGTGAGGTAGATTGGGCTACAAAAGAATGACTGATCCAAAGCCACTCAGTAAGCTCCATGGTCAAGCAGGGACTTGAGGCTGTGTCTTTCTAGTCTACATCCAGTACTTAAAGTAGCATACTACTTTGAACTTTAATAACGCATTTATGTTCTTATCCTTAGATTATTGATAGAAGAAGAGAGACTGTCAAGATGGAGTCTGTTTGGGAATGCGGTTAGTCAATATGTTATGATGATACAGTACAACTTGCATGGTGATATGGAAGAAAAAAACAAGATGAAGTACCTTATTAGTGCTTTGGAAATAAAAGTATTCTGCTGGACTATGCTAAGATCTATTAGTATGAAGAGTTATTCAGTCTCTGAAGAACTTTAGGATGAAAAGTTGAAGTATCCAGCAATGTCTGATAAATAATTTGGGGACCCTCATGACTGTTGCAGAAGAATGGCTGTAAATTGGGTGATCCATTATCTTTGGCTTTTGGCAGTTCTGGCAAGATGCACTGGGGGCCACAGCCTATTCTCATGTGAACCCATAATCCTGAGGATGTGCCAAGATCTTCCATATAATACCACATTTATGCCTAACCTTTTGAATCATTATGATCAACAAACAGCAGCTCTAGCAATGGAGGTAAGTATTTTCATTCAAAATATAAATAGTTAATCAAGATCTTCACTACAGTTGTTCACAATTATCAAAACAGAGAAGAACATAAATGTATTTGCAACCTTTGTGCTATTTGGGGGTATTCACAAAGCGTAAAACCTTCATGAGAGGTTATCACATGTAATTAATTATGTGTACTCTGGATCTAGAGGGGTTTTTTTTTTGTAAAATTGCTTTTTATATACAGTAGTGAGTGATGAGAATTCCTTAAAATGAAAATATATAACATGTGGATAAATGTGGCTGTGATGGATTAGTGCAGTAAGAGTGGATCTCGAACCAGTTTTATTCATATTTACTTTTAGTAAACATATGGTAGTTCTGCTCATGAGCAGTTTTTTATCTTGAGGAATTATAAAGAGTTAGTTGAACAAGTGCTCCCTGTGCTTTGGTGGACTACATGTAACTGATAAAGTTATTGGTGACCTTTACAAAACAAATATTTCTATTCTTAAAGGAATCTATTTGCAACTGGAATGGAGGCTTTTTAAAAGGGAATATATTTTTGAGGAGGGGGTTATAACTGAGGCTACAGAGATTCTTCTGGAGATGTTGACTTCTAAGATGATGAAAGTGCTGATGGGGAAGAATGTAGGGGAAGCATTGTTGTATGTGGTAAGAAAGAGAAAATAAAACATACTGAGCTACACCAGATGGAAAATGAAGAAGGTGTGGCTAGTGCCTTACACCCTTTTTGCAGTTCACTAATCAGATCTCCACTGTTTCCAGGAAGGGAAGGGAAATGAAAGAATCCTAAACCCTATTTCTTTTCTTGTTTTTTCTGATACCCATCTATAGCTGTTGTAATGTAGACCAATTCCATAAGCATTCTTTCTACCCAAAATGAAGGGTGCAATCTGTAAGATAAGGCAGGAACTACCTATTTCCAAGCTAAAGAAAACAATTATGTAAACATATCTCATCCACTTCCCAAAGCTATCAAACACCTGCCAAATATGCAGGTAGTCCCTGGTTTACATGTCTGGTTTACAGACGGCCCGTAATTAAGAACGGAGCCTACTGTAGCAAAATTCAAGTTAAATACACAATGGTTCAAGTTAATTACACAATACTACTTATATAGTATTATACAATAATACTGTTCTGGCTTACATACAAAATTGATTTACGGATAGACCTTGGGAATGCAACTTGTTCTTAAACTGTATATTAATTTATAAAGATGGCTGGAAGAAGCCTAGATTTTAAATTTTGCAGCATAGATATATAAAGCTCTGATTTCTTTGACTTGCAATAGCCAGTTTGTTTGTTTGTTTATTTATCAAATTCATATGGCCACCTATCTCACAAAAAGTGACTCTGGGCGGTATACAACAATGAATTAAAACAATAAATATATAAAAACAGTCATTATTAAAAAATGTAAAAAAACCACAAGGCACAAGTGAGAATAAATGCTAACCATAGCAATGGAGCCACCTCAAGATCTCACTGGTCTCCTGGGACCCCCAGGCCTGATGACAAAGCCAGGTCTTGAGGGACTTCCAGAACATTAACATGTATGGAGCTAGGGCAAGCCCACCTTTACAGGATACAGGCCAATATCTCTTCCATGGTATCCTGGTACCATGAGAATTACTGCATTAGATCAAAATGAGGGCACTCAGACGTAGATTAGATAAAATTATAAATGGCATTCTTGTATAAAAATATCCCAAACAATTCACAATATAAAAACAGTAAAAAAAAATTCTGAAAGAGTATATTATCACCTACTCTGCTAAGATATGGAAAATTTTCTGACTTTGCAGTAATAGAATATAGAAACTTTTGGGGGGGGGGAAATTGTGCCTGCAGAATATGAATTTTTCATTTTTTCCCTCCCATGTTTAATTTCTTTTTTTTTTAAAAAATTCTCACTCCATCTCCAAAGTGAAATACAACTGTGAAATTTGGGAATTTTACAAGTGGTAAGTACTAGGATTTACCACAATAGTACTGTTGTTTCATGTCAAACGGTCAATATTGGCTGGTATAAAAAATGTAGCGGCCACACTCACTCCAAAGCACTTTGTCACACTGTATCAGCATCCCTTTAACTCATTTGCATTTTATTTCTTGGGATTGTATTTTCTGCAGGCTCAGGAAAAGATGCAGCATCTTTAAGGAGGTACTGATAGGTGTGGCATATATACCCACATCTGCTCTGAATCAGCTGTTTGGCTTTGAATCCAATGCAATTCACATGATATGTTATTATTCCAGTACAGACTAAAGTTTGATTGCTTGTTATATCCTGCAATTTAGACCGGCTTTTTTTTTTCTCAAAAGTTCAGATTTATTTGTAATTTTTTACTCATGCTCCTTAAGCTTTGACTGATGCACATTTACTATCTACTGACAGGGTTACAGTTTATTTTCCATCTTGTACACTTTTGTAGGTTTGTGTTTGCTTGTTGTCCCTTACATTTTAATGATTATTTGAGGCTGCCAAAAAGCACCTCATTGGTTGAGAAAGGTAAGATGCTTTGTGGCTTCTTTATATAAAAGATTAGGATTCCAGTATTGGTCCATTTGAGCTATCCAGTTTGTATAAGCAGAATTACTAGGAGCTGTCCAGCTGAAGAGCTGTCCAGCTGCAGTTAGACTGTGAACTGTTAACTTACCAAAAAAAAAAAAAAAAAACTAAGCAGTTTGCTTTTATTAGGAATGTGTGTGAATTGATTGATACAGCTGCTTTGCCTCTATTCCTGCTTGTTTTTGTGGTATTTTTATTATTTCTGGAACAGTTGGTTCCTTCCTCAATCATTACATTTTGCTTGTTTTATACTATTATCAACTTCCTGAATCAGATGCCCTCGAGATATGTTGTTATTCCATCTCCTTCAGCAAGCTGATAAGATGGTAAATAAAATATGGAAGTTTTATTCCAATAATATATATTTTTGAAGGAATTTTATATTAGCTTTGTTTTAGGGTCAATCAGTCAGATGCCTTAGTATTAGAGTTAATTCAAAATGTAGGAGAGACTTAATAACGATAAAATTATTTTGTTGAAAATCATGAGAAATATGCACTGTAATTTTTAAGTAACCCAATAGAGTCCTACACACACAAAAAAAATACTATATTTTTTCAGTTCAAAGTGCCGATCTGAAAATATGTATGGCTATGATGTCCAGTAAAATTTGCTCCCATATCTTTTCTAAGTTTAACAAAATATAATACAAAATATAGTACAAAAGGAATATGCATAAAGAATTGGTAAAAGGAAAGTATTTGAGTGCTTGACAGACTTGAAACTGGAAGCCTGTTGAGTAGGAACTACGAGCAGATTGCTTAGCAATGGCAATCCCTGCAGTCCTAGTTGCCGTCATTAGCCAAATCCCACAGTCATTAGGTGAGGCAACTTCCTGCTGGCTTCCCACAACCAAAGTCAGCGGGGAAGCTGGCAGGAAGCTGCAAGTCTCAGGCCAGTAGGCAGGTAAGTGGCTGCTGCCAGGTGGGGGATGAGTGAGGGATGTGTGGGGGAGGATCAGGGAGGGTGCTCAAGGGTGTGAGGGAGGGTCGGAGAGTGCATGAGGGGATGCGTGATAGGTGGCATGGGTCAGGTGTGTAAGGAGGTGTGCTCTTCAACAGGCATGCAGCATGGGTCACGGAGGGCACAGGGGTGTGAGGCACGGCGTGGGTCGGGTGTGTGAAAGGCATGGGTCAGGGAGGGTGCGAGGCAGTGCATGAGGGAGCAAGGGAGGTGTGGCAAGAGTTGGGGAGGGTGTGCGGGAGTGCACAAGTGGCCAGCATGGCGTGAGCACAGAGGAGTTAGGGGAGGGTGCGTAGGTGGGGGAGATTTACCCCAGCGACTTGTAACCTTCCCTGCCAGCTTCCCCATTAACTTTCTGGGGAAGCCGGCAGGGAAGGTTGCAAATGTTGATCATGTGATTGTGGGGCACTGCAACTGGTCATAAGTGCGAACCAGTTGCCAAGCACCCAGATCACAATCATGTGACCGGAAAGGTGCTGGGATGGCCAGAACTCCGAGGACCAGTTATAACCACCATTCATTCAGCAACATCATAACTTTGAATGGTCACTGAACGAATGGTCATAGGTTGAGGTCTACCTATGCTGGGATGGCCAGAACTCCGAGGGCCAGTTATAACCACCATTCATTCAGCACCATCATAACTTTGAATGGTCACTGAACGAATGGTCATAGGTTGAGGTCTACCTATCCATGCATTGTGCAGCCACAAATCCTTTTGTGGCTCTCAGAAATCATGCTGCTGAATTTCAGCAGCAAACTATTTAAAAATTTTCCATCTTTTTTTTTAAACTTTACATATGCATCTGGAATATCCATAACTCCCCAAAAAACCACAAAGCTTCCTGGATAACTTGCCCTGCTCACTTAAATGATCAATCTACTCTCTATGAGCCTCAGTGCCAGAGAAAAAGAGAACCTTGCCCACATTTGTTCTGTAGGAACTGTAGTCCCCAATGCACATGATAGTGAGAACTTACCTTTATACGGTCTCTGATCTGCTCATAGCTGATTAAAAGAAAGTCTAATTGTTTCATGTGGGCTCCTTAAGCCTGCAAATGCCAGATTTCTGTCTGTTGCAGCAATGGCAGCTCTGCCTCTTGAGCATATAATTATTATTGGTGGTAGGAGGAAACAACTGAATTTAGTATTCTGTACAGAACCACTTTTCAGGAGGAAGCCAACATAAAACATGTTGCAATTACTTTTTAGGTGACAAAAATACTCTCAATATGTCTTCATCATAGCCTTTTTTATTTTCAAAGCCCTTGTTTCCGTTTGAAGTGAAAAGTAAGCTAAATGTGGTAGATGAGATCAGATCTTTTAACTATATTTTTATCACTTGCCATTTAACATCATAGATACTAGAGTTCCTGATCTGTAAGGCCCCCACATTTGAACAGCTCACTTATCTCTTAAGACACGGAGAGGCACCAGCACTACAAATAAAAATATTGTGCATCTCTTCAATCTTTTCCCTGTTAGGATAGAAATGGAAAAACGTGGGAGTTTCAGTGGAAGATGTTTAAATCATCTGGAACTATGGTGAAACTCTGTGAATGAAAAACAGTGATGTTATAATAAAAGTCTCATCTAGTTTTTTTCCTTAGTTATTAATCTCTTTAAAGCTCCAACCATATGATTTATTGGAATGGCAGGGGGGAAAAAACAGTAGTTATATCAGGACAAACTGTTAAAATGTTGCTGTAGATTTCAGGGGCAGCTTTACAAATTAATAGTGTGCAGACCAGTTCTATGAAGAAGCAGGTGTTTTTTTTTAATTATTCCAGTGTAACTCCCTGATAAGTCAGGTTAAAACTGATTTGTGTGTGTATTTGTCATGATTGTATATTTCATGGTATCCTTGGCTCTGTTTCCCATATCATGTTTGTATGTATCATATTAGCAAGACCTTTCCTCTATTCAGTAAAGAACTGTTCCTATGGATACCAGCCTTTTGTGGTGTGACAAAGGTTGGTGTTCTGATTCTCATGAGCCAAATTATACCCTTTGACTCTACCCTTTTCACACTTCAGGCTAAGCTTGGCCTGTGGTAGGCCTGAAATCCTATGAGTGCAGTGTTCCCATGGTAATGGGTATGGAACTCTGATAGGAGGGGGCAGACTGTGAATAGAACATGCAAGCCTTAATAATTTGAATGTGAATAAAGGAGAAAGATTCCTTGGAGCTTTATCTCCCTGTGCTGCAAGGCTCTATAATTGGTTAGTGGAAAGGAACTTTTTCCAGGTTATAAACTTGCTTATATTTTCTTTTTCTTGATTTGGATGAAATGAAATTGTTCGTATCAAAGGCAGTGATCAACAACAAAGGCTTTAGATTAAACTGTGTTTCTATTCAGTTTCTGGTTTTGCAAAGACGCTTCCAACTGAAGTTCAGAATACATGCAGTTGAAAGGCGGGAGGAGGGAAGCTTTGCTTGCCTAGACATGAGCAGTTGCCGTGCATTCAAGAGGAATTATCCATAAGAAAATTGAATTAATTTATATTTTATATATTACATAATTGATTGTGAGCTAAAGAAATATGTATCCCATATGAAAAAAGTGGGGGGTTGTGATTCTTGGGACTCCTTATAATTTGAAGTTTTCTCTCTTTCACGGAGGGAAAGAGGAAGGGTAAGGGAAGTAAAATATCATGTTTTTGGAATCCAGAATATGAATATTCAGTCTAATCTGTTTGAAATAAATATAAGCATAGTCAAGAATCCAATTAAAATGCAATTCATATTCATTACAAGAGCAGAAGAGGTACATAAACTCTATCCTGACACTAATTATAATGGAGCATAGTAATTAAAAATTAAAAGAGAAAAGCTGTTTTGCTCTGAATAAAGCTCCCCTTGCCCTCTCATAGAAGCATCCTTTTCCTTCTAGCTGCCTTTATATA